TTTCAAGACAGAGTTTGGTCAGAACTTCTGAGCCAGTTTTCACAAAGGTTCAGTCAGAGTTTGCAAGGGTAATTCAAAGAAGGTTACAAAGCATGTTGCAAGCTTCCTGGAAAGTCTGAGAGCTCCTTCAGATCATGCTGGAGCAAGGAGATACAAAAATCATAAGTTGGATGTCTATTCTAAGTCACGTTGAAGCTGAACTTCTGATCTATAACTAAGCAATGATGCAGAATATCACATTGCAGGATTTCTAGTTTGATCAATCTCATCATCATTTAATGATCACAACCACTTTTGGGTATTTGTTCAAAGGATTTCCCCACATGTGGCATAAAAGTACCATTACTGTCTTGGAAAAACAAACTCTTGTACAAGAGTGTGCTAGGCCCATGCGTTGCTTTTGCTTTTGAAGTTACCTTTCCTTAATTCCTGCTCACAAATCCAGCTTAAGCATGGCTAAAAGCTGCTAATCACCATGCTTGTTTCAAGAACAAGGCAGCACCTTAGCATATGAAGGCTATATTCAACGCTTCGGTCAAAACATGACCAAATCCCAAAACCTTGTTTATACAACTTGCTGCACTGCTACAACACATACCTATAACCAACAGCTAATTCAGCCTACGCATGCATCCTATAATTGCACCAAACTAGCATATGAAGACTGTGATCAAAAGGCAAGGGAACAAGATGCCAAAAAGGTTCAAATCCCATTTGTCCCCCCCCCCCTCCCCAAAAAAATCACAACAAATCCACCTATAAATAAGTTGCTCCATCAGAATTGCAAAGGGCTGGCTTTTGGAGAGGGAGAGAATCATCAAAAGCGAGAAAATAAAACAGTGAAAACCTTCACAAATCCTAAACAGAACCTTTGTTCTTCCCTATGAATCAAAGAACATAACCACTGTTTCGTTACTCTCGCTGACACCAGAATATTTGAAGGCATCAACTCAAAGCTCCAAGCATACACTCCAGATTCAAGGTAAGTCTTTCTGACTTTGCATTTTTTCTTTCATTCAGAACATCATTAATATGTAAATATCATGATTAATGTTGTCCATATCATTGCATAAGTAGAAAAAAATTGTGGATCAGAACTTCTTGATTAAGGCTAGGCTCAGAATTAGGATTAGAACTTCTATAAACTGTTGTGCTGTTATCCTTCAGATTTACTATTTATTAATAACTGAATAAATTGTTGATGTGCTGATTAATATGAGGAAAGAGTTGAAATGTGGCATGGAACTTCTGATGCTCATTCACAGTTTTAGCATAACACATAACTTCTGAGTTCTCCTCACTGTTTTAACATACAGAACTTCTATGATTCTCTTCACTGTTTAAACACACTGAACTTATGATGTTCATTTGTTGTTAATGCACACTGAACTTCTGATGTTCACTCACTGTCTTAGCACACATTGAACTCCGAGTTCTCTTCACTGTTTTAATATACAGAACTTCTAAGATTTTCTCATTGTTCTAACATTCAGAAGTTCAGCACATAGCAACCCAGAACTTCTGTGTTTTCCCTCTAACGTGTCTTGCAAGACCTTAGAGTGTACCAATCCAGAACTTCTGATTCCACTGACGTTCCTTTCTGAGTCATCACGCGCCTGGCTTCATAACTTCTGATCCTTGTTGTTTCGCTTGCAGCAGCACGCTGTTTCTATCTTTCATTTATTTTCCTTTTTATCATTTTTAATATTAACTCTTCTTTTATTAACATAAAAAGACATAAAAATATTTTCTTTTATTAATTAATTAATTTCTTTTTTTCTTAACTCATTAAGACAAAAAACTATTTTCTAAACAAGTTCATTTCACATTTTCTAGTACATTCTTATCCATTCAATATGGTTGTAATAGTAACTTAGAATTTAACTTTATTTGCAATCCCCATTTGTAAATATGTACCCCCATCCCCCCTAATGTTTGTAATAACGTAGGATATTTACTTTCCGCACTTTTTATTGCTTTCATATATTGCTAGTAATTAGGGTGTGTGTGGCTAGACATGAAAACAACAAATAGACAACCTAAAAAGCAAGACTAAAATGCATGCAATCAAATACACTTGCACACTAGCACCCTTAGGGTAATCCCACCTTGTTGTCTATCGGAAAAATAGTCACGTCCCTCGAACATGGGCGTTTTAGCAAAAGACCCTCGATAAGAGATCGTAGTCCCTCGATGACCCTCGATGTTGCCTTTGGTAAACGATCTAGTCCCTAAACGACATTGCTAAAATGTCCCATAGGTTTCCTTTTATAATTATACAAACGTCCTACGCCCGTCCCTTCAGATCCAACGATGGGGCTTCTTACCAAAATAATGGTAAGATAACAACATCTAAAGGAGGAGGAAAAGAACATCTAAGACCTTTTGAGTAGGTAGATTCGCTCCTAGTTGCTTGCTTGCTCACAACAAAAACATTCTATACACCAACACTCTCACTTTGAAACATTTTCAAAAGACAACACTTTGTATGCGTTCTTATAGAGACGAGAATTGTTACAAAGACACCTTTTCAAAACCACTTTCAAAAAACACCAACACCCTCAACTTGAAAACATTTTCAAAAGATCAAACATCTTTGTATAGATTCTTACGAACGAGAATCATTACAAAGATTACCTAAATGACGACCTCTTTACAAAATACTTTCAAAAACCACACAAAGCATAATTTCAAACAAAAAGCAAGTGATCTAGCAAGTAACTAAGAGCCCATAGAAAACCATGGATGAAAATGGTGCTAATACCTTCCCTTTTCATAATCTACCCCCCGAACTCAAGAAACAATCTCAAAAGGTCTTTCTTGTGCTTTTTCACCTTTCCTTTTGGATAAAAGAAAAGCCGGTGGCGACTCTTACTAACCGCAACATTTACGATCAAACGCAAAACTTTCAAGTCAGTTCTACCACCGTATCACAGGTGGGTATAACCGTGGTTCCATTGCCAGAAATTGGTGGAGGCATTTCTCCACTAGACTGATTAGCCATTGTACTATTTCTTTTCTTAGGTACATATTTTTTTGTGGTTGTTTTGCCACTTCTTAATAACATACAATAATCTTTGAAAGAAAATAAATTACTTGAATAATTTATGATAAAAACTATTTTTATCAAAGTTTATAAATTAAAAAAAACCGCAACGTCCCACCGGGTGTGCCAATTTGTTTACCGTGAAAATTAGTAAACAACCGCTGATCTTCCAAAAAGGGTTATTTTGGTGACTTGCAGGATCAATCAGATTGATCATAGGACGTATGCTGAGTTATTTATAAGTAAGTTTAAATGAAAGGGTTGAAAGGTAAATTAAGAGTAAAGGTAAGATGCAGACGAAAACTTGATAAAAGTGCAAGTAAAAGGTAAGTAAAAAGGATTGAGAAGAGTTTAAGGATAAAAGTTGAAAACTAATAAAAATTGCAAGTGAAGGGAAGAATAAAGTAAATTTGCAGTAATGATAAAGTTTGCGAAGGAATATAAATGGCAAGGAATGTAAAGGAATTATAAAGACTTTTTGAAATAAAAGATGGTGTTTCAAACGTGCATTCTCAATATCTTTTCTCTCACAACGGGTACTTGGATAAGATTGAGTGACTTGTACAATATGTTGAACACACCCGGAATCTACATAAAATCCATATATTTATACTAAAATTAAGTAACCGTCAAACAGTTGGCTCGCTCCAGGATGAAGACAAGTGTCCTCTGCATGTGCTTCAACTTCTATCTTCATGCCACGTCGCTTTCCTCAACTGTCAAATGAACTGCTTTTCCCCCCTTTTCTTTGAATTTGAATTCACTTGCTTGCTGACACAAGGATCTTTCAGTCGAAGACCGCATGATCCTCTCGGTCGAAGACCACAAAAACTTCTTGGTCGAAGACCAACTTTAACTTAGAAAAATCTCTAAGTGTTTTCTCCTTTTTAGCAAGGATGACTTCGACACAACCTCTTTCATAGGATCTTCTGGTTGAAGTGTCAGCAACTTTAGATTTCTTCAATCTATCTTTAGCCAATAAGCCCAATTTGTGTGGGTGTCGAATTTAGGAGCTAACACCCACCCACCACCAAGACGAGCAAACTTCGAGGGTATGGATAACCGACTGTACCAAAGTGGATCTTCTAGATATGGATATCTGATCGATTTCATGGATTCGGAACACATTAACTTCGCTGGGCCATCGACCCTGCCACGAAAGGAAACGCGACGAAATCCACCACGAGATAGACAAGGACGCTGATGCGGAACCGCTGGTCGTTAACGAGTTCCAGAAAACCACTAATTATTTTGTATTTTTTTTATTATGTAATCGTTTTGTGTAAATAAAAAGTCGAATTTTCGTGAAACTATATCGTTTATCTAATGTTCCGCATTTAAAATAAAAAACGAAAAGAGTTAGACCTCCTTTGCACTAAGGCGCAATCTCACATGACTTAGGGCATACTTTTTTAACACATAGACGCCAAATGAGATGGCGCATCTCCTTTAATTTAAGGTGTAGGCGTCAAGTGAGATGACTACTCCTTTATAGAATTTTCTAAAACATGATTATTTACGTAATTTTCTTCGAAACATAATTATTTACTATTTTTTTCTTCACAACCTAATTATTAAAAAAAAAATTCACAAAAAAAACACCTTATTACTTTCAAATCACAATATAGGATCACATTAAGAGAACAATATAATATTATAGAATATACCAAAATTATAATCAGTATTAATAAATAACAACAACAATTGAGGTTCTACACATTTTGGTCATAACTATAAGTAGCTGGTTGGTGGAGTAGAAAAATTAAGTGTAGAATTTTAATCACTTTTTTATAGAAAAATATAAATAAAACTTTTGTATTAAAATATATTGACACTTGTCATGTAGGTATATGCTTTGTTGAGATTAGCTGAATCAGCAAGTGCAATTAATCATCTGGCAGTTATAACAGCCAGAATTTACCAGCATCAGAAGCCACTCACTCCCGTCGTGGCCATGGCGTCGCCGTCGTGGTGCTTCTCTCCCGTCACCGCAACCACCACCACCCCTACCCGCCGCTACTCTTTAACCTCTCAAACTCCTAAATTCCCCATCAACCAACTCCCCTCTTCTTCTTCTCGCTTTTCCACCACACCATCTTCCCTTCGATTTAGGGTTCCATGCTCCAACAACAAAACCGATCAATCGACAGAATCCACCGAACTCGATTTTCTAAATTGCGTTGGAACAGGTCAAGATGTGGAGTGCTTCCTAACTGAAGAAGAAGAAAATGGAAAAACTGACAAAAAAGACGAATCATTGTCGAAGACACTTTGTCTAGCGGAAGGGTTATGGGAAGGTGCTGTTTTGATATCGCCGTTTTTCTTCTGGGGTACAGCCATGGTGGCGATGAAAGAAGTGCTGCCTAAATACGGTCCTTTCTTCGTTTCGTCTTTTCGTCTCATTCCAGCTGGGTTCCTTCTCGTCGCTTTCGCTGCTTCCAGAGGAAGGCCTTTCCCCTCTGGCTTTAATGCATGGCTTTCCATTTCGCTCTTCGCCATCATCGATGCTGCTTGCTTTCAGGTTTACTTTTCAATTCAATTTACATTTCTTTACTCATTTAGAAACTGTTATTGCTGATTTATTTATTGTTGGAACAAGTCCATGTTGCAATAGGTTGAATTTAAATATTTCTCAAGTCCTACATTCTTAGAATATTTTTTTGGTTGAAAAAATCATTTAGTCTCACGTTGCTCATGTGAAAAATATTAACTAGCTAACTTCACTATATAGCAAATTACAAATTACACCAAAAACTATTTTATTAGTTTTTCCTTTCTCACTTTCATAATTCTGCGTCTTTCAAATTGTCGAAGTCCAGCTTCTTCCCCTTTCTTTCTACTCGTTGAATTTTCCGAATATTTTTATGTTAATTTCTCTTCATTTGAGTTGAGAAATTTTCAAATATTAATTTTTTGGATTCTCTTTTGAGAATCATTTGAATTTCTCCTTGTTGGAGAAATTATTATGAGGGGTCAAATGAATTATTTTGACTAGTTTTTGTACTAGGTACTACGAGTGGTATTGATACCATATTTGAACGGACTTGTGCTGCGAAAAACGTCTTAAAGAGTAGTTTCTTCGGTGGCAAATATTTCAAAACTGTGAATTTATTGATTGCTTTGTGTTTGCTGTAATGAACCAGGGTTTTCTCGCAGAAGGGTTGCAGAAGACTTCAGCTGGATTGGGTAGTGTATGTTTGCACTTCATTTCTCAATATTACTGTTATTAGTTTAGTGTCACTACTTCTGATATTCTATTAAGAAAGTTTGTAATGTAACAATTATGTGTACAATTTGTGTAGACTTGATAAATTGTCTTTTGTGTATAAATGTGTTCAATGCTGACTTTTCATCTTCCAAAACTGATTAATAGTATTAATATTGTTGTTGTTATTGTTTTTGTTGTTTTGTTTGGGTGTTTATGTCTTGTTTGTGTGTCTTTGCTAGAGACTAGAGTATAGTCCTTATTTAGTGCACATTGGATGGCTGAGTTTTATTTTGAAACCGGTTAAATAACTCTGTAAAATGTTGTGTATTGATTCATATTGATATTTTGATAGAGTTGGATTAGAGGAAAAGTTGTTTTGAGTTAACTTTGTGCTGATTTGGATTCTAGATTGCAGTGAGAGTGTGGATTGTTGCTTGCTTTGACTAATTTGCCTGGATTTATGGCAGGTTATTATTGATTCACAACCTTTGACGGTGGCTGTACTTGCAGCTTTGTTATTTGGTGAGTCCATTGGAATTGTTGGAGCTGCTGGGCTTATACTTGGTGTCATAGGACTTGTGTTACTCGAGGTAGTTTAATTTTGGGTATATGTTTTAACCAAAAGAAGTGACGTAACTCACGCTCTTTATCCACACAGCCCAAAGTTAGCAATCAAATTATCATGGATATAATTGGAAGGATGTTAAGCTTATGTTTTGCTATAGTTAGTGCTGTCCACAGTCAAAAAATACATTACATAGTTGATTTTGTAATATTGAAATATACAATTTCTCTTGGCCTATCCAATCCTTTCTGTTATTTAATATTCACTAATGCAAGCACTGCTGGTTTTATTGCAGTTACCCTCCCTATCAGTTGATGCGAGCAACTTCTCACTGTGGGAAAGTGGGGAGTTGTGGATGCTTCTTGCAGCTCAGAGCATGGCAGTTGGCACTGTAATGGTTCGGTGGGTCACCAAGTACTCTGATCCTATCATGGCAACTGGATGGGTGCGCTTCAAATCTCATTTTAACTTGTGCTTTTGATAATTTTATGTTTTGAAAACTCACTTAACGATTAGTAATCCTTTTTCCAATTCAAAAGTCAACATGCATTTGATAGGAAGGATGCTGAGCCCATTGATAATGAAGGGGAGGTGTTAGTGGGCGTGAATAATGCTAGGCCCAAAGAATGGAGAGTTTATGTAAGAAAGAAAAAGAAAGCAAACATGAAATAGGTGTCACTGCCTAGCTGGCAATTAGTTAGCATATTCCCTAATAAATAGGTGTTACCTTTCTATTGAATATTTCAGTATTATTAAACATTATATTTCTGCTCTATCAGCATTTATTCAGATGTACAATATTATAGCTATTTTTCATCATATTTATTGTCGAGTTGTGTTGATGTGTCAAAGAACCTCCCGCACACTAGAGTTTTAAACTAGACAATGTGTCAAATTTACAATAGTGTGGGACTCTATTTAATGGATCCCCTGATGATAGTTGCAGAAAATTATTTCAGCAAATGTGTCAATGTTCATAAAAAATTCTAATTGTTTATGAACTCTCTATAAGCTTAGTTCAAAATTTCACTATCCTGTTGCAGCATATGGTTATTGGTGGTCTCCCCCTTGTTGCATTCGCAATTCTTAACAATGACCCTGCTATAAGTGGAACTCTAAAAGAGTACAGTTCAAATGATATATTGTCACTCCTCTACACGTCCATTTTTGGAAGTGCTGTTAGCTATGGTGTGTTCTTTTACAGTGCAACTAAAGGTCTGTATATCTCTGTGATCGTGATCTCTCTCTTTTCCTTGCAGTGATTTTTTTTTATTATCATTAAAATGTTTAAATTTAAGCATCAATGGTTCATTTCTTCTTCCACATTGTAATCACTGTTATTGATGCATCTTTAGCCAATTTGTACACTTCCAGTTTTGATGTTTATTTTTGTTTTTCAAATTCCATATCAACCCATGAAGAATATTTACTATTGACGATATATTTGTAACATGCACTGCAGGTAGCCTGACGAAGCTCAGTTCACTTACATTTCTAACACCAATGTTTGCCTCGATTTTTGGGTAAGACTGCCTAATAGTGGAAAAGAATAGCAGGAGTTTGAAGTTTTTTCTGTCTCTTGGAATTATGTAGCAGTGAGAAAAAATTATTAATAACAACTGATCATTTATAGCACTTCTTTACCTGTAAGGTAATTAATAAGGAGAAAAAATGACCATCTTTTACAACTAAGAATGTTTTTAACAGAACAACCCACTGCCGTCCCTCATAATTTATCCAAGTAGGCATTACCTCAAGCCAATTCACATGTTTTCTGTGAAGTTTCAGGCTTATGCATCTTTGTGAGGACCTTTTGTATACACATTTTTTCTTTGATATTTCAGGTTTCTGTATCTAGGTGAAACCTTCTCACCTGTACAGCTAGTTGGGGCCAGTGTAACTGTAGCTGCAATATACATGATTAACTTCAGAAACGCTTCAGAATGAATTGTATAGTCAGCTTTCTACTGGTTCTTTCACCTAACCCAACGAAAAAATTGCCACAAACTCAAATTGGGAATGCTAGTGCTTTTGGACAAGAGGGGAGAAGTTTGAGTGATATGTGATCTTGAGCACATGCTATCATGCTTTACCGTGTAAATACAATATAGGCTTCGAGCCTCTTCCTACACAATACATAGCAGAAAATTGTAAGTTAGTAGAGGTGAATACAAGCCTTATACACTAGGGAAATACTGTTTTAGTTTATTACTGTTCCTGAGTTTTGTATATGATGAATTGTTGATGATCACACGAATGCAACAGACATATGAGATGCTGAATTTGTGGTTGGCTTTTGTCTGGGAATTACCTCGGACAATCATTAAAAAAAAAATGCATATCAATTGCAAATTATTTGATCAATCAAGATGCATATTCTTCCAGTCTGTAATTAGCCAAATTACAACACAATTTTTTCTTAATTCATGTTGCATTTTTAATTGGGTTCCGGTAATTTTTTTTTGTCTTACCATATTGTGCTTGAGTTAATTACAGATCAAACTGAGAATAACTGACTCTTTATGCATATCTGATTTGAAGAAATAAAGAAACATAATGTTGTTACAACTTACAAGTAAAACAGGAACGAAACAGAGTGTTCACATATACCTTAATTAAAGGAAAACTGGTACAACGGCCAACAGAAGGAATGTCAAACTAATGCAATTATTAATAAAAGACGGAGGTGAATTCATTTGGGATGCAGCTGTGGTGACAATAAGTTTCATGTGAAGAACAATATGCGAACCGAGCCTGCCACGCCCCATCTCATTGTCATGCTGATGATCAGATCATCTCCTTCAATTTCTTCTTTGCTCCATCCATGTTCGCCCTGCTGCTACAGAAGACACCCTTTCTTCCAAGCCTATAGGAGTTCTGATCTTCCTCTCTGCAGTTGTTCAATCTAGAAGTCCAGCAATCTTTTGAATCAGTAGAACTAAGTTTCCAAGAAGAAATGCCCCGCCACTGTTTCACACTACTGATAGTCAAGTTGTTTCTTGCTTCACCATGTCCTAGCCGCTTCTATTTGTTGCTTCATTTCTATTTAATCCCGGTTCGACTATGGCATCTTCATAAGCAGATGCCTCAGACTCAACAATTGGATCATTGGTATCTGCCATCCTATTTACATTACTATTACTAGTACCCAAATGTATCATCGTATTCATTACTACTGGACTGGAAACCTGGTGGTTTTATCTGGTCCTCTACACCAAACAAGTTTGAGCTGATCTTGGAGTTGAGATTAGAGTTTGAGCTGGTATTAGAGTTGAGATTAGCAACAACTTTAAGTATAGAGCAAGCTCTGGCTACACATAGTCAAGCTATTACAAGTTCATAACAAAAAGAAAGCTACAAGATAGTGTTCAATGGTATTCATGGCATGATTAATAAGACATCAGTTTGACAACAGTTGTTGAAAGATCCCTTGCCTTTAATTTTGTATAGCTCATCAGGCAAGTTATACATGATGTATCAATTCAAATACTTTTGACCCAAGCTTAAAGACACAAAAATAGCAAGAGTACTAAACCACAAAACCAAGCAGAAAAATAAAACTCAAGTGTCATGGCAGAAATTCACAATACACCTCTTTAGTCTTTACAGTGACACTACATACTAGCTGAATTGTATTGTTGTACAACTAATAGCAAAAATGTTAATCATGATTCATGAAAACTAGTCAAAAGATGATAAACTATCCCCGCTTTGCATGTTGTCCCCTTGTTCAACCTCGTTGCTACTGCTTTTGTTCTGCAACTTGGAATTAACAGCAGGTAAGCCCCGACGTTCTAAAGCAACAAGATCAAGCAGCCTTCTCCTTGCATCATAAACAGGATTTGGCTGTCTCAAACAACCACGCTCATAAGCTTCCCTCAGGAAAACAGTGTGCCTTTTACCCTTAGTTGACAAATAGAAGATTCCCGGGTGATCCAAGAACAGATCTCTTATATTTAAATCAATCCCAAACCATTTTCTAAATTGACTTATCTTCTCAACTTCCACCATCTTCTCCACTGTCAAACTCAGAAACTCATGAACAATGGAGACTGCTCTTTTCTCCATCGCCATCATACCAGCCTTTGACGACTTCTTCTTCTCACCAACCATCTCATAAGGCCCCATATAAGGCAAACTCTGCCATTCCTTCACTTTGGCTCTAAAGTTCTTGCTCAACTTCATCCCTGGAGGATACACATGTTTGAAACTATACCGCATTTTCATGCTATTAACACTGCACTCCTCTTTACAACACTCAACAACCCTCCATTCCTCAACAGAAGCTCTAAAACAATTGCTGGGAACATCACCAACCAGCTTCAACAAATGAGTATTTACTTCATCTGCATCACAAAGCTGAAAAACACTAGGATTCCCAGCTATAACCGAGTCCTCAAAATCATCAGGAAGACCAAGCTCCCTCCAAACCTTAAAAATAGCTCTAAGAGGAACAGTTCTGGAAGCAGACATGGACAATATCCGAACAAGCCTTTCAACAACAAGAGGCAAAGAAGCATTAATAGCCTCGGCTTCAATGCGTGAGACATCAAAAGCAGCATCAGTTAACCTGCAAAAAGGCTGCAACTTGGAAGGTTCATAGTAAATATGGAAGATATGAGGAAACTTGCGGAGGAAGGCAGTGGCACCGCGGTTGAGGTGGAGCTTCTGGGAGAGATTGGAGAGGAAATCAACAGAGACGGATTGGTTTTTGGGGTTAGCAAGAATAAGGTCTTGAATGGCAATGACTTTGAGAAGGTTCTTGTACTTTTCCATGAATTTCTCAAAAGTGGGGTCTCTATGTCGTGATTCTACATATTGGATAGATGTTGTTTTTGATCGAATGGAAATGGAAACACAGAGTGATTTTTGTTGGTTTTGTTTGGTTAGAAAGTTTACAAGGTGAGTGCCCATTAGAGTGAGGAACCCCTTTTTCATGAAAACTCGGTTTGACATTTCGTCGAACACCTGAGGGTCGGGTGTTATTGGTAGAATGAAACAGATCGATGGGACTCAGATTTCATAGCATTAGGCGTGAGACAACAGCAGAGTATAACGGTCGAAGGCAAGTTTTGAAAACCAATTTCTTCAATAAAAACTTTGCAGCGGCGCTAATTTAAAAGAAACAACTGAGCGAAAACTTTCTGTATGAAAAAGTTTTAGGCGAATTCTCAATTTCGCTTGTTTATTTCTCAAAAATCTCGAAATAAGTTTTTATAAGGGCATACTTGGATTGATGGAAGGTAGTGAAATGATATAAATTAACAACTTTCATTGTTATGGAAATCACTCATTTACCCTATCTTTGTTTTATGCATATCATTGATATGGGGCAAATTAAGTCAACTTTTTATTTATTTTTTAACCAAACTGCACATCTGGTTCAATGCCAACAAATATTTCATTAATAATAACTACATTATTCTTTAAAAAAAATTATAAATGTTTGGTTTCATGTATTTTTCCTATTCAAAATAAACTAAATTGAGACAAACTGAGTTACACTATGTGGTACACGGCCAGTGAGTCTACTGCAAAAAAAAAAAAAATCAGGAGTTTGTTTTCATTTTTAAAAATCAGGAGTTTGGTGTTCAAACTACTGCCTCCACTCATCTTTAATCTTGCACGGATTTTTAAATCTTCAAACACACTATTTTCCAACCCACAAAATCAGATTCTATTCAGATTTATTCAAGATTTCAATAAAAAAATCAATGAACTAAAATCAAACAGCTCACAATCACTCATGTTTCCCAGCAAAAATAAAATCAAATGCTCTAGATACCAATTTGTTGGTGAAAGGTAATGAGGTGAGAGAAGAAGAATGAATAAAGAATGATAACAAAAAAACTACTGTTATATATCAAAATAGAGGAGATAAAATAAGATACAATATTGATAGTTTAAGATAACATATTTATACTAAATATTGAAAATACCAGAAGACCATATTAAAAATAAGCATTGAGAGTCGTAGAAATTAACTAAATTATTTTTCTAATACAAGTGATGGAAGGTATTTCTCTTGCTCTAAGTGGAAGATTACTTGCAGCAATATGACATGTTCTTAGACTGTATAATTTGGGAAAAAGAAGATTATTAAGAAAGTGTGAGAATAAACTATTCCCCAACACAATTGTCTCTATACAAACCTACTGTGATCGAATTTATGTTGGTGACATCCAAGAGGTATGTTTCTATTCAATGTATGTATCTATTTGTCAAATATCTGGATATATGAGTTTAAGCATTCTAACAAACAACGACTTTTATGGTATTTATGTTAAATTTGACATTACATTAGCTTCTGTCATTAACTTGTCTTTGGTCGTAGTGTTAATATTTGAATTTTACTAAACTGGTTTATATTAGAGCTCCAGGAGGTATTCTTCATTCTATATTTGAACAACTTGATTAAGGCACGAAGATAAAACACTTAATTTTGGACAACATGCCTATTCACAGACTCAATGTACTACTGTTTTTTATTTCTATTTTATTACTGCAAGTGTAGACAGGATGAAAACCAACTTTACATATTCGCCTATGTTTGTGATCCGAGATGGCTTACGATATCATACCACATAGATTTTGACACCTTGACTGGTGCAAACAAGTTTGGAAATATCTATTTTATGTGATTGCCACAGGATGTATCTGATGATATAGAAGAAGATCTTACTGGCGGGAGGATCAAGTGGGAGCAGGGGGAGCTAAATGGAGCTTCTAATAAGGTGGAAGAAATTGTACAATTTCATGTGGTATTGTTATCATTCATACGGGAAGGAGGAAGTTGTGACTTATTTGTCATATTATGACTAATTATTTCCACTCGTATTGTTATCATACTATAATTTTGGGTGATGTTTCTTATTTCCAAATATAATCAGGTGTATTTTAGATTTTTTTTTGAATAATCAAGTATTAAAATTTTTTTTCCGTAAATAACCACGTTTCGGAAAAAATTACGCAAATAACAATGTTTCAGATGGCTCTCCAAAGGAGGAGCCATCTCACTTGGCGCATCCACCAAACTTTTTACCCTAGGCGCCATCTCACTTGGCGTCTCCTCTCTCTTTTAGCCAAGTGAGATGGCGCATGCACTTTAAAAGTGAGAGGAGGCGTCATCTCACTTGGCTCCTAGGGCAAAATGTTGTTTTTATAAATAATTCGTTTGTTTCTCCGTCATTTCTCACACTTTCTCGCACTGTTTTCTTATTTTTTACTATGTTATTTACGTCATGACATTGCCCATGATTTTTACCAGAGATGGTTACGTTATCTTCTCCGCCACGAAACCTGCGATGAAAATGAAATTCTGGCACATTCACTCCATGGAGCGTCTGAAGCGGGAGTTGATGCGATGGCTAGATGGAGACATCGTGGAGGGGGGGAAATTCGAAGGATCCAGTGAAGACGAACAACAACCTCACATGCGACAGGAAGACCTAATGTATGGTTGGAGGAAGTCAAAATAGACAGCGACGTAATGTTGATGATGCATGGGTCAGATGAAATTGTTTTAACAGTTGTAATTTCGTAGACGAAATATCGTGTTTTTTTTCTTGTACGCGCAATGTTTATTGTAGCAAATACTATTAACGAAAAACCCTAATGTTTACAACATAATTAAGGAAAGATTTTATGTAATACAATTTTTATGTGGTCGAGGCAGACGCCCGATTCGGACAATTTTTGCGATTGTGTCCGACCTGACGGCATAAACCATACTTTCTTTCCAGCTTGTCAAGGGAGTCCATTTCAATTGTGATGCGCTTACTTTTGGGACGACCCTTCTTGTTCCTTCTCATTTGGTCATTGTGCCACACTATTTCGCCGTCGTATGCAGGCCAATAATCTGGTCTTGCTACCAAAGGAAAGTTGTTGTTGTAAACGTTGAGCAACGTTTCAGATTTATAAATGTGTGACAAAAGTTGTAGCGCGTCTTGATGGGTATAAGCACACGCGGCAATGACATGAGAGCAAGGCATACGAAAGGCTTGAAACTTGTCACAATCGCACCAACGAGAAGGTAGTACAACCCTATATTCTTGTCTTGGCATGCCCTCGTTGTGGTCGATTGTCTCTTTCACAATAAAGTTGTGGCTGTGTCGGTCAAACCGTATAACCATATGGGTGTTGGCTTTGGCACTTTCTGCCTTAATGTACTTCATGCAGCTTTCACTCCATAGTTGTCTAGATTGCAATACCGCATTCCATATTTCACCTCTTTTGGAAAACAACGAAGTCATCCTAAAATACGTAGATTTTACCAAAGCAGTGACCGGGAGGTTTCGCATGCTTTTGAATACCTCATTCATCGATTCAATTAGATTTGTTGTCATGTGCCCCCATCGTTGGCCATTGTCGTATGACCTAGTCTATTTTTCTACCGGAATATTGTCGATCCACCTACCGGCTTCTAGATTTGACAAACGGATCTCGTTGTGGTAATATTTGAATGTGGGTTGTATCAATGTATATCCCGCATTCATAACCACTTTCCTTAGTGTTTTGTCCTTGATCTCCCTCGTGAAATTTTGGACGATATGTCTAACGCAATAGACATGCGTAGAAGGAGGATCATGCCAACCGTTTGCAGGATTATTGTATGCACTTTCAATAGATGCATGTTTATCCAAGATCAAACAGAGATCTGGTTGAGGAGCCACGTGTGTTCGCAGGTTTTTCAGAAAAAAGCTCCAAGCACCACCAGTCTCCCCCTCGACTAGGGCAAAGGCAATTGAGAAAATGTTGTTGTTGCCATCTTGTGCAACTGCCATCAGTAGCGTGCCTTTGTATTTCCCATACAACCAAGTCCCATCAATTTGTATAATTGGTTTGCATGATGCAAACCCTGTGATGCAAGGTTGAAATGCCCAAAACACTCGACTGGATATTCCGTTTCCGTTTAGTTGACTACCATCTTGGGCGTATGCTGGCACTGTTTCCAGAATGTAAACAATACCCGGAGAATAAGTCTTGAGTGCATTCAGGTAGCAAGGAAGTTCTTGGTATGACTCCTCCCAGTTTTCGTACACCTTTTCAATTGCCTTGGTCTTTGCTAACCACGCCTTACGGTAAGACGGAGTATAGTTAAAAACCGTAGTGATGTGGGAGATAATGGTTTTCACCTTCAAAGATGGATCGTTGCTGACGAGTGGTAGGATTTCTTGACAAATTAGATCTTTCGATGATCCTGTGATTGGGTATAACTGACACAAGTGTGGGTAGACATGGAACCTATGACCCAGCAATCACCTCTTAATATGTATGATGCAGTGAGCTTGAACATACAATCAGGGTGGACACAATTGATCTTGTACCTTTATGGGTTTACACGGTCCACCTTAAAATCGACCGAGTTGAGCATGTGGAATTTTTTGATGGCTCTGATACATTCTTCTCTGTTACGAAACTTGTCCTTCTCTTTTAAGTTTTCATCCGACTGCATATACAGATTGAAAAATAAATCAGAAGACGGTTCATCTCCGCCCATGTTGAAGTTTGTCATGTGCGGAGGTGGTGTGTAGATCTCGTTTGCAGGAATACCAGGTATCCCATCGTTTTTGGAATCATCATTCACCATTTCGTCAAACTCTAACTCGTCATCTTCTTCTTCTTCATCAACTGCATCTACCTCTGCTTGTTCGGTCTCCAAAGGATCAACCACTTGTGTCACTTGAGGCTCTCGCAACATAGTGTACAACTCAATAGAGTCGTACCCAGAATACAAATGACTGGAAAACATATTCTGAAGATCCTCGTCATCTTGAACCTCAACCTTATAAAATATCATTTGGTTGTTACCAAAAAAAACTGGATTCTGATAAAATATTTGTGTCATCGGGCCTCGTCCAAGTTTGGCCTCCAATAGTTTTTTGAAGTACGAGAAATTGGCTTTCCTGTTTAAAAGAAATCGGATGTTGCTTGTGTCTCTAAACAAAAACTCAGAG